ATATATATATATACCTATATATATATATACACATATATTTTTTTTAGAGGATATTTTCATTTGCCTTCAATGGGATGAAATTACAGCAAATCCTTAGTAAAAAACCACTCTGAATCTTAGCCTCACTTTTCCTAGCTTTGTACTGCTACTATTCTGTCTCTTTCAAATTCCTAAAACAAAAAAGCCTCATTGCCATGGAGTCAGTTCCAACTCATAGTGACCCTATAGGACAGAGCAGAACTACCACTTAAGACTACGTCATCATTCTTCACAGTGGCTGGTGGGTTCTAACTGTCAACCTTTTTGTTAGCAAATGAATGCCTTAACCACGTGTCGCCAGAGCTCCTTTCCAAATACCTAACCAGTTCATATTCTGGAAAGACAAAACTATTTTAATAACACCTTTAACAAAATTCAGAAGTTTACCTTGCTACACTGTTTCTTAATTTCTCTAGTTACGACCTCTCTTGTCACTTTAAAACTTCTTTAAAGCATTGTCTCATCTCAACCTTTATTATCTGGGTTCTATCTCTAATATGGAATCCTTGGGTGGCACAAACAGTTATGTAATTGGCTACTAACCAAAAAATTGAATCCATCTGAGGACGCTTTGGAAGAAAGCCTTGGTGATCTACTTCTGAAAGATCACAGCCATTGAAAACACTATGGAACATAGCACTACTCTGAGACACATGGTGTCACCATGAGTCAGAACAGACTTGATGGCAAGTGGGTGTTTTTTTTTTTCCTTTTTAATCTCTAATATACTACTGGAACTGAGCATGTTCAAGCACTCTAGGCACCCTGGTGATGCGGTGGTTAAGTGGTTAGACATAAAAGATCAGCAGTTCGAACCTACCAACCGCTCTGCAGTAGAAGGATGTGGCAGTCTGCTTCAGCTCTGGCCCACTGGATTCTTTTTACTTACTCTCCATCTTGAGTATATTCTTTGCATATTCCGAAATTTATCCCCCCCCCCACCTTTCTGTCCCCATTGCTAAATCAGGCCACCAAAAATTCTTTATACTACTGAAATCACTTTCAAATTGGCCTTTTTAGTTACTCTCCACCTCCATACAACGATTATTCATTATAATCAAAAAAAGCGTTCTCTAGCTGCATTTAATCCCTCGCTGGTTGTTTTACAAAACATCAGCTCACTTCAGTTTTGGAACTTCAATTTTGGGAGTTCAAAATGTAAGAGACTTAAGTAAGCACTTCTTTACCAATTAGTTACAATGCACAAAGGATTTAGCACCTAGGAAGAGAAACAAGTTCTGGTGGCGCTGTGGTTAAAGCACTGGGCTCTTAACCAAAACGTCAGCGGTTCGAACCCACCAGCCATTCTGCGGGATAAAGATGAGGCAGTCTAAGGGGCATTGCTACTGTGCTATTGGGTCGTTAAGAGTCGGGGATCGACTCGATCGCAGTGGGTTTTGTTGGGAGATGAATTCAATTGGCTTTGACAATTATTAAGCTGGCTGGCTTTTCTGTCTCGATTGCTCTGGTATTACTAGGACCACAATCTGGTTTAGCCAGCTTTGGTTTCCCCACCAACGATTTGCTCCCCATCTCTACTCCATACGCCTTGGGCGAAGCCTGAGAAGTAATCAGAACATTATCTGTCACATCTAGGGTGCAAGGACATCCAGCTATAGGAGGCACCGGAAGAAGAAGGGAGGGAGGCATCGAACGCCACAGCTTTAAGAGTCCGAGGAGAGGCGGAGCTGCCTATACTGCCGCCCTACCTGTTCCGCACAGGTGACTCCCGCGATGCCGCCTCCGACCACCACGAACTTCCCTGCCGTCGGGGGAGGGCGCGCTGCCTCCATGTTCTTGAACTTCTATTGTTTACTGAACACAGTGGAGGAGCCAAGGGAAATCCTATTTCAGGAGAGCGAGCCGCGGTGGAGCGGCGACTTCCGGTACTTGATACACAGAGTCCGACCTACGGGTCCCCAGGAGTTCATACTTAACCTCGCGTAGTCAGCGGCAAGACTGCTTTTTAGGAGTTTTGCTTAGCAGCCGAATGCAGTCCCCGCTCACACACACCCCGCCCTCGTAGATTTGATAAAGAAAAGACAGACAAATAAGACGGGTTACAAGAGGTTTGGAAAATCGCTTGTCTAAAGACAAACCACTATTCCCTTACAAAACCAAAGTCACCGCCATCCAGTGATTCTGACACATAGCGACCCCTTTTGGGTTTCCAAAGCGGTAGATCTTTGTTGTTATGTCATGGAAAGGGACCGACTCATAGCGACCCCTCCTTGTGTTTCCAAGGCGGTGTCACTGCAGAAGTAGATTGCCCAACCTTCCTTCCGAGGAATGACTGATGGGTTTAAACCTCCAGCAGAACTTCTGGTTAGCAGCCAAGTGCCTTAGGCACTACGCTACCAGAGCTCTTTAGGGAAGTAGATTACCTTCGGTGGAGTGGCTAACCTTCTGGTTAGTTGTCAAACGCTTTAGGCACTACACCACCAGCGCTCCTTAGTGTTCCTTTAGGGCATTTGTTGTTGTTGTTGTTATTTGCTGTCGAGTAGGCCCCAACTCATAGCGACCCCTCCGGCATAGCATTTATAAAATAAATTGTTGTTGTTATGTACTATCGAGTCAGACCGACTCATAGTGACCCCTCCTTGGGTTTCCGAGGCAGTATCACTACGGAAGTAGATTGCCCCATCTTTCTTCCTAGGAGCCGCTGGTGGGTTTGAACCACCAGCCTTCTGGTAACAATCAAGTGCCTTACGCACTATGCTAGTTGCTCTAAAGTTCTCATTCGTGCAAGAAATAGGAGCAGATCTGAAACTCAGAGATAGAAGGAGCTTTAGGGAACATCACCTAGCTAACCCTTCTCATTTTTCA